GTTCTTCTGACATGAGCAAGAAAAAAACTAATGGAAAAACAGACTTTAAAATGAGATCTTTTAAACAAAATGTAAAAAAAAAAATCAACAGTGAAATACTGTTTACTTAAGAATAGATGGTATTATCTCTAATGTGTTTATGCTTGAAAAGGTAATTGTAGAAATTTGAAACACTATTATTATTTGCTTTGTTTTAAAAGGTGAGTAGTTTGTATAAGAGGTACATTTATTTTTGATGTTGTTCATAGCACATACTGAAAAGAACTTAAACTACAGGCCTCAACTTATTTAAGGGCATGACATTCAATGTATACTCCTTACTTGGACATTTCTATCACTGCAGGCTATAGCTCATTCTGTACAGTGTCTTCTCATTAAGCCATGTGAAAGGGACTTAATAAACAAATCTCACTCATTTTATTTTATTTCATTTTTTGAGACGGAATCTCGCTCTGTTGCCCAGGCTGAAGTGCAATAACAGGATCTCAGCTCATTGCAGCCTCTGTCTCCCAGAGTCAAGCCATTCTCCTGCCTCAGCCTCCAGAGTAGCTGGGATTACAGGTGCACACCACCACGCCCTGCTAATATTTTGTATACTTTTTTAGTAGAGATGAGGTTTCACCATGTTAGCCAGGATGGTCTCTATCTCCTGACCTCATGATCCATCCGCCTCAGCCTCCCAAATTGCAGGGATTACAGGCATGAGCCACTGCCCCCGGCCAAATCTCACTGATTTTATAATGCTGTGTCTAAAAGACCACAGATAAAGATTAGTGGAGACCAGGTACTGCAAAGGCACAAACAGCTAGCACATCCTATCTGAAGAATTATATCTGAATCAGTTGGGAATTTACTCTTGTTCTATACCTTTCTATCAACAACTTTACCCTTCCCCCTAGTGCCAGCATTGAAGGAGAATTTTCTATAGCTTCTGATGTGTGTACCTATCCTTGCCCACATTTTCTTATATCTAATGAGCTGCTGCAATAAATATATTGTTACCTTCTCCCTGGCCCAATTTCCATATCCCACCTTGGTCCATGACTTTCAGCATAATTCCTTATTTCTTGGTATCCATGTTAATTCTTCATCTCAATGCCTTGGAGTGTGTATAACCCAGCTCCCTGGCATGAATTTGTAAGGTTCAAATTCACATATTCTTTCTTTTTAATAGGTTGATTTCTACTTTATTTCAAGGCTGAATACCCCAGTAAATTCATGAGGTTACCAAGATCAAAAAGCACACACAAAGCAAAACATGGTAGACATGCTCTTTGGTACATTCTTCGAGGTCAATACTCCCACAAAGTCAATACTCTCAAGTTAAAATAAACTAACTCTTGCCGAAGAGGCCAATGGTTGGGAGTAAAGGGAAGATGTTACTTCTTCCAGAATCCTTCCCATTTTAATATAATATTTCTAGACACAAAATGCCATGAGCCAAGTAATGAATTTCTAAAAGTGAAATTCCAGGCACAATGGGAAGCGGATGAAAAGGTAGTTTGAGACTGGGATGGAGAGTTACCACATAATTTTCACATCTTATATAGGTAAGTATTTGCCTTCTGCTGTTTTGTGATAGTCCAGCCCTGACTCTATGAAACGTTCCATGTGGCTATCAAACAGATATCCTTATCCCCTTTTCCCTCTAGATTTGCTTTTAATTTATATAATAATGATAGAGTATCTTATTATTCTCAGTCTTTTAACAAAATAGAATATGCCTACCCAATTAGTAGAATATTAAATCCATTTTGGTCCATGCTATCAGGAAGCTATTCAATAAAAAGAAAAATTGTGTGTGGAGATTTGTAGCCTCCTAATGCAGCTGTGACTGAAAGGAGTTTTTCTGATAGGCGAGGCAGCTGTATGAAGAGTTTGGGTCACATCTCAGTATGCTAGGAAGTAATTAATTATAAAATCAGATTATCATTTGTTATAACCACTAAAGCGTCTGTACATCTGGTCCAATAGTCCTCTCTATTCTGGTGGTTATCCTAACTCCTTTTTCAGCAAATCTTCACATTTTGATTATTTTGCAATTTAGGGCTTAGAGTTCCTAACTCTGACCTGCATCAGAGTCACCTGGAGGACTTAGTAAAATACAGTTCTGACCCTTGCCTTGGAGTTTTTGATTCAGTAGATCAAGGAAGAGTTTCCTGAAAAATGATGGTTCCTATCCTTTCCCAGGTGATGCCGAGGCTGCTGGTCCAGGGATTACACTTAAGAAATAAGCAATAAGAATTACACTTGAGACCTAGTTTCTTGATTCTTGCTAAAACCTCTTTCTAGCAAGTTTTTTAACTTCCTTCACTTTTCTGGTAGCTTGTCATGCCAATAATCAGCTGAAATCTTTTTTTTTTTTTTTCATTTGTTTTTTTTGCTCTCATGACACAGAATTGCTTAAAAAAATGAAAATCTGTGTGACATAGCCCTTTAAAATCTCAGGTTAATTGTGTTCTTTAGGTTTTCACAGCTACTCTATAATCTGATTTCCCTTTTTGCTTTCCTCTTTGACTGCCTGTCATTTTTTTTTCTGATATTCCTCCATAAATACGTATCTGCCTCTTGAATACACATCTAGGTATTTCATTCATCCATTTGGTTATTCAAAACCTATTTATGGAGCACCTATCGCATGGAGATAAAGAGAATACAAATAAACAGTGTTGCTTTCATAAAGGGTTGTGCATTCTATTTGAGGACAAAGTCTAAAAAATTAATAACATTAGGTAGTGATGTGTGTGGGAACACAAACCAAAGCAGAGAAAATTGACATTTTTTGATATGCATATAATCATACATTTCCTTTTTTCCTAAATGAATTTTTCTTATTTGCATTACTGGGTACCATTATTATCCTGTCATCTAACTCTCCTCTTTCCCTCACAACTTTCCTCCCATCCCAAACGCTTCCCACACTCACTCAGTCATCAGGTAACTTCTACTTCCACGAAACCATTTCAAACTATAGTTGTATTACAACCATTTTCAGTCAGTTTTTACAAAGATATTTTACCAGGAACAGTTTAATATCTAACTTTAATACCACACCTATCTGTGAGACACACTTAACGAAAAACAATGCTTTAAGTCAGATCGTGGTGCTAATCCAAAAACACATTTACTCAGAGAGGCAAGTACTTTTATTTTTTTCATTTAGAAATAAGGAGACAAAGGTATTTTACAAAGGCAGAAATTTGAATCTGGGTATCCAGAGGCCAGAACCTGCACTTGTAACTATAGTATGATAGTGTGGTAATAACTGTGATTGAAAGAAGGAGATACCAAGTGCTATGTCAGCAAAGAACAGGACAATTAACTCTGCCCAGAGGATCTCAAAATATTTATCCTAGATGGGTCACCCTGGTGAGTATTATGTCACCTGCAGCTTGAGCATGCCTTTACATTAAAATTTCTATAGAAGCAACTCTCTTCCTATATATATTTTAATCCTTCCAGAGCATACATTTCACACCATGTGTTTGATAATTTATTAACGAGTTGATTGATTAACTTAGTTTTAAGAATATCTAAATAGGAAAAAGCTTTATGTACTATGGTGAGGAATGTGCTCCATGCATTTGAACAGAAGGCTAAGGCAGGTTTTGAATTACAATGATAACAAGGATGAATAGATTTGACCTACTACCCGGCATCTTCCATAAATTTCCACTCTCCATTGCCTATACGCTCACAGACAGTGAACAGGGTAAGCCCAGCTATTACAATGGTAAGAAGAGCCAAAGAGAAAGTCAAAGCAGACATGAGCTAGACCTGACAGTTATTTGGCCTATGAAATGATTTAAATAATAAAGGAGATCAACATTTCAAAATCCTGTCTAAAAAACTCATACTTTATTTTTGCCTGCTTTTTGGAAACTGTCAAGACACTGCCACCTTTAAAACATTGCAACAGCTGTGCAAACTTTCATAGAATTTGATGCACATTTTTACTCTCATTTTTAACTTAAACAACACATCTGTTAAGATATGAGTCTGCCTGTGCTTCAATCAAGTTGCACCATTTTTCTCTCTTAGCTTATATGCATAACCACATTGAGACAGCTGAAAAGAAACGCCAGGTGACAATTTCATTGTTCTGAAGAATTGTTCCTGCGATCAGCCTACCAAGTCATTTATGGTCATATTCCATAATGAATGAATCTATGTGATAAATAACGCCTTAGAGCTTTTCCAAATAATCATTTATTATAAAATGTATTTCATATATATGTATACACTTTTCCATCTCAACAAACCTTTAGTGACTAAATTTAATAAATAAACCATATTCAATTAGGTAAGCTTATTGAAAGGCTAACTTAAAATCTTTTTTCTAGACAGTGATGCAAGTTGGCATTTACACTATAGCCAAACAAATCAGAAGTCTGTCAGGCAGTAAATACGATGTTTTGGTGGGAATTGGGGGAAGCTGGCTATCTATAAATGTGTATTGCCCACACATCTTAAATAATGATATTATAGGGGAGATTAAAACCTATAGTTTGGCCACTTACATAAAAATATAAACATATTTTCATTTTCAAGTATTAATTTCTGATGCTGCTGGGACCAAGAATGGGTTATTTTTCATATTTTCTCATGGTACATCTTGTCCTCGTCATAAGAAGAATTGCTTTTCTCCTATGACAAGGAAAGAGAAACATGAGCACTGAGCCAAAATTTCTCAAGTTGACAGCAAGTATGACTTTATGGGTGCTATAAGAAAATGATCTATTCACTTGTAGCAGCTAGAAAAGATTTTGTAATTCAACCAGGTTGTGAAAGGTCACCCTTACTCAGTTGAAATAGATGAGGGGAATTTGCATGCACTTTGTGTGTGCGTTGCAAGTGGCATATATCTGGCCATGTGAATGCTGCTTCCCACGGAGAGTGGTCAGACTGCTGTATTCATCCATTGCCAATGCACAAATGAGAATCCTCGAATTTGAAAAAACTCAACAGACTGTCTAGTTCAACCCTTTCCTTTTTTTGAAAATATGGAATTCTTCAGGAATTTCCATGTCATTCTTACGCAGGGGTCATGCTAGTATTTTTTGTATCATTCCAATTTTAGTATATGTGCTGTCAAAGCAAGCAATCGTTTTTTTTAAATAAAGAAATTCTGATTTATAGAGGTTGTTCTCTTTCCAAATACTATATTAGAATTAGGTTAAAAAGTGAGCAGTAAAGATTAGCATTTCTAATTTCTTTAAAAATCTGTCCACAATGGTCTATAAATATTGTAATTGTGTAGTAAATAAAATGAGGAAGACAGATTTTTACCTTTCTATGTCAAGAGAATGGGATAAAACATGAATGGCATATGTTCTACACTGCCAAACAGGCTAACATTAGCTGAATTTTATCAAGTACCTATGTGCCAGGCCTTGTTCTAACTTCCTCACATACATTTATTTATTTATTTCTCACAGTAATCCACTGAGGGAAGTAATATCATTAACATTTGTTAGATTAAGAAATTAAAACACACACACACACGCACATACACACACACACACACAGATTAAGTAACGCACTCAAGACTACATAGCTTGAAACTGATATCCAAGATAAAACTTGAGAGTTAGCATTTTAGTAGCAATGGAAAATTCTCCTAGCGACTTTGAGATAGATACCAAGAGTGACATTTCTTTTATTCAAAATCTGTAGCATTGCTTATGGGCTGAAGGTAACTGTCTGTTTTAGAAATCTTGGTTAGATTATGCATAACTGGTAGTTTTCTCAGTATTTTGACTTATTATTCCACTCTTGGTGAATATTGATTGAGTGGTTAATGAATGATTTTATTACTACTTACGAGATAGAAGTTAGCAGGATAAAAATTCATATTAACATTTAACATTTATTTAATAACTCATTCATTCACTAAATAAGTATTTACTAAGTCATTATTATCCTAAGGATCAGTCCTAGTCCATGAACCAAAAAAAAATGTGTCCTTCTCTTAAGGAGCTGGAGAGAGGGAATATGTTGTTTGGTTTACTTTAAAAACAACTTACATACAGTAAAATGCTCTCTTTTTGGTGCAGAAGTCTGTGAGTTTGACAAATGAACAGAGTTGTGTTGCTATCAAGACAATTAGGTTACATAACAATTCCATTACTCCCAACAGTTCCCTTGTGTAGCCCCTTTGCCATCAACCATTCTATTACCCCCAATACACTTACAAACACTGACTTAATCATTTTTTTAGTTTTATCTTTTCTAGAATGTCATAAAAATAGAATTATGGAATATAGCAGAATTTTGATTCTGGCTTCTTTCACTTAGCTGAATGTATTTTATATTTGCTGTGTGTATCAATACTTCATTCCTTTCTTTGCTGAGTAATACTCCATTATATGGATGTACCACAGTTGGTTTATCCATTCATTGGTTGATAGGCATTTGGATCATTTCCAGTTTGAAGCTATTACAAATAAAGTTGATATAAGCATTCATATACAAAATTGTGTTAACACAAGTTTAATTTCTCTTAGGTAAATGCCTAGAAGTAGGGTTCAGTGGAAAGTATAATTCTGACTTTATATAAGAAAGCGCCAACTATTTTCCAAAGTGACTGTAACATTTTGCACTCTCCCCAGAAATATGTGAGTTCTAATTTCTACATTCTCACAAACACTTGATGTTAACACTTTTCCCCCTAGCCATTGTAATAAAAAATGCAGTGGTATTTCATTGTGGTTTTAATTTGCAGTTTTCTAACATCCAACCATGTTGGAGCTTTTCAAATGCTTATTTTTCTATCCTTTTGTCTTCTTTGGTGAAGTGTTGTTCAAATGTTTTGCCTTTTTTTTTTTTTTTCTTTTTTTTTTTTTTTTTTTGAGGCCGAGTCTCACTCTGTCACCCAGGCTGAAGAGCAGTGGTACCATCTCAGCTCACTGCAACCTCTGCCTCCCGGATTCAAGCAATTCTCCTGCCTCAGCCTCCTAAGTAGGTTGGGATTACTGGCACACATCCCCACACCTACCTAATTTTTATATTTTTAGTAGAGACATTGTTTCACCGTGTTGGTCAGGCTGGTCTCAAACTTCTGACCTTATGATCTGCCCGCCTCAGCCTCCCGAAATGCCGGGACAGGTTGAGCCATCGCTCCCTACCTCTTTTTTATTGGATTGCTTTCTTATTGTTGACAGAACTACTTTTTCACTCCCTTACTGATCATTCTCATCACTGATAATGCCTAAGTTCTTGAACGACTCCCCTTCTTCTGTCCCTACACTTGACCAATCATCAAAATCACCTAGTGAACTTGTTAACAGTTTCCAGGCCCTATCTCAGAGTTTCTCAATGAGAATCTTCAGAGGGTAAGACCCAGAACCTAAAAATATCTCTCTATATGGAGATGCAAATTAAGACCACAATGAGATATCACTGCACATTTGTTAGAACAGTTAAAAGTATAATTTAAAAAATAATGACAATACCTAATTCTGGTGAGGATCTGAAGCAGTTTTACTGAAAGTTGGCCAGGTATCAATAAATACATGTCTAAATCTTACTGATTTTATGTATCTCAGAACTTACTGATGGCCTCTGTTATAGCCTATTCTTAGTTATCTAGTCCCAGAACAATAGAAATAGAAAATATATAACACATCTACTAGCAAATTATTTCTATATACAAAGAAATAAACATACTTGTATTCAGAGAGGTGAAGGGGAGACAGTCCCAAGAGAGAAACAATTTACTAAAAAAGTAGAACAACAAACATCTGGCCCATATGTCAGAGCTGTTCATGAGTTATTCTGAAAATGTCTCTCATTTGTAAAACCTTAGCCTCCAGCATCTTTCAAGCATATTTGTGTCTGCAGAAAGCCCATCATATTTTTCTTCAATATGTTTTCCCCCCACCGTATCATTTTGTTAAAACACTAATCCAAACTTCTCTAATCCTACATTCCTCATGGTTTCTGGAGATGTTTCTTTATTTATTTTTCTTTTTACCTGATCTCAAAACTACCTGTTGCAATTAATTTCTATTGTGACAAAAAGATTAAAGAAAGTTAATGTGTTAGAGCTCACAATAAATACTTCATTGTTAAACAGGCTGAACACTGACCTTAACTTTTTTTCTATCAATTTTTCTCTCTCTCCCACAACCTTTGAAATATACTCACTGTGTCCATTTTAGAAAAAAAAATCTCTGCACGTTACATTTATATTTATGGTTAATATTTGAATTTTAATGCATCTATATGGTGATCATGTATGTGTGTATTCTACATGTGGATATTTCTTACATGGTAAGCTCCTAGAGGGCAGTGAATGGCATGCATAATGAAGCTCCTTGAGGTATTCCACATAAAACCAGTTGCAATTATGCTTCTCATCAGTTATAAAGAAGGCTATAAAAGGACGAGTCATTAAAAATCAGTCAATATTTACTTCTTATGTTCATTAAGGCAAGAAATATAAATTGAGTAACCACTGCTAAACATATTGATGGTTGTAATTTAAGTAAATTTATGGACTTAACTATTGGAGGGCTTATATATTTAGTAATGATTTTCATCCTTAGCTCATTATATAAAGCTTTAAATGATAAATGGCCCTAGAATGCTTTCACAATTAAGTTGATACTGAGAAAATGATGAAAATGAGACAGCTGATATCTGGGGGCTAAGAAATTATGAAGGAATAATTTAAAAAGAAAAATAAGTTTTACCAGTATAAACTTTACCTGAATTACTAAATTTAACCCTCAGAGCATATATTAAAACCAGGGGCCCAACTAATAAAGCCAGGAAACAGATTTGTATTGAGGATGGAATGGGGTGCAAGGGAAGTAAAATAAAGTTGTTTATGTAAGATTTTTATTAGAGATGATATGCCTGGGACTCATGACCTAGAAAGAAATCACTCCTGATGCCAAGGGCAGCCCTTGGTTATATTAGCTATCTTAAAATTGGGGCTGGTTGTTCTAAATATTTAGTACCAAGCAGTGTCACTAAAGTACTTTAGCTTTTTCCAGCCACAATTTATTAGATATTTGAAATCCAAATGTTTCTCAGTCCTGTTCAAACCTATTTTTATCTCACCTGATGTCAAAATTGTGTTCTTATAGACTTGTCAAAGACTTTTTTTTAAGGTTGCAGCATAATTTCAAGCTCTTCATGTTATTTCTTATACCTCCACATATTTTTACTCTGAATTATATAGTTTAAGTGTTTGTCATATGTGTGCTTTTTACAAGTATTCACACCAGTCTTCTATTTATTGTTTCTGTTAACTTTTCTCATTATATGATATGACATAGCTTTCTTTCTCTGTGTGTATGTGTAACAAGATAAATGTTCACATGAAAGAGACAGACAAACATAAATCATTAAATCATTGGAATAGTTTGCATTCTCATGTTATTGCTGAACTAAATATATCCCATAAAAATGGATATATTTAGAGAAAGGCTGATTTTACTTATTGATAAGACAAACTTAATGTATTGACTTTCTAAAAAAAAATGACATATTGTCAACTCCTCTTCCCTTTACCAGGCTGTCTTTCCAAACTTCCTACCTCCATTATTCAACATCTGATTCAGTTTGAATTGTGCCCCTAATTTTAGGTGTTGAAATGTTAACCCCCAGTCTCTCAGAATGTGATCTTATTCGGAACTAGAGTCACTGAAGATGTAGTTAAGATGAGGTTATACTGGAGTAGAATGGGCCCCTAATCCTATATGCCTGGTGTCTTCATAAAAAGCATGCCAGAAAAAGAAACAGACATACACACAGGGAGAATGCCCCATGCAGACTGGAGTCATGCTGCTGCAAGACAAGCCATTACCAGAAACTAGGAGGAGAGCATGAACATATCCTTCCCCAGTGCCTTCTGATGGAACATTGCCCTGCCAATACCTTGATCTCAACTTCTAGCCTCCAGAACCATGAGATATTAAAGTTGTTGAAGCCACTCAGTTTGTCATACTTTGTTAAAGTGGCCCTACAAAGGAATAGAGCATGTAACCAAGATTCCTACAGAAGCCGACAGGTAAAAACAAACTCATCTACTTCCCCTTTTCCTGGCTATGAAAACATATGTAGCTTCAGCTGTTCTTTCCTCCTGTTTGAATGTATGTGTTAATCCCTCTATCCCATGCAAACCTATCCACCAATGCTCTCAATCCCATCTTTGCCATCAATTCTGTTCCCTCCTTCTGAATTATATATCATCAATATCTTAATCTCTGTTAAATTATGTCGCTTGTCTCCTAACCATGCTGAAGTTTTCTCCATATTTGTAAGCTCGAGAGATGAACCAATACTTGTTGCTTCCTCTTTCTTTGTATTTAAATCTGGTTTTCATCCTTCTTACCTGTGGAACTTATTATCCCAAACATGAGCTAGTACAAACAAATATTAACCATCATCATTCTTTGTAGTTTAACTTTTGGCCCCAAATATACCTTTAGGAGCCCCTCTCTCTCCCTCATTTTTGTATTATGTGTTTTTACTAGACTTGTCTTTAGACATACAGGGCTTTGAGCCACACTGCCTAGGGTTTCCCTTTGTGAAGAATATTGAGGCTGTTCAGTTTCAAAATTTAGGGACCATCTTGGGCTATCTCTGTTTTCAGCTAAACATGGGTAAGACACAGGCTATAGAGACATAGGAGGCAGACAGAAGACCAAAGATATCATTCTATCCCCTTCTCTTCCCATTCTGTCAGTTGCTAGCTGACTGATGATGTGTCTGTTACATTTTAACACTATTCAGCACGTGAATCTATCATTCTCCCTTCTTGAGGAAAATCTTTTGACCTAGCTTCCACAACACCACTTGCCCAAGTTCACTCCTCTGATGGCTACACCAATTTAATTTTTTTCTATGCCTCATCCTTCATGAACATTTCTAAATATTTCTTAAGTGACTATAAGAATCTTTCAGACCCCACCCCACTAAGAGATTCTGTCACTGTCCTCAGCCCATTGAGAATCACTAGTATCTCTATATATCCAGCTGCTAAGATGTCACTCAATTTAATTCCTACAATTAGGATTTGAATTTTTAGGACAATTGTAAATAAGGATTTTTTTTTGTTTTGAAATATAATACAGGATAATATTTATAGAATTGTTTAAACTATATTACCAAAGAAAATGAATATTTTCCTGACTTCCCCATTCTAGAACTCTATCTTTAAATGTTGTCAGTCCCTTTAATTCTTCTCTTGAATTTCCTGTTGCTCTTAATTTTCTCTATGGACAGTTCCTAATTGCAGACATCTACTTTTACTTACATGCCTGTACCTTTTGTAAAATACATTGCCTCCTGGAATCCATTCGTGCCTGTCCCCTAACCCTCGCACACTTCCTCTT